ATAAAGAAGTTGAGAAACTCTGACCTACACCATCCTAGGCACCAGATGTCCTATGGCCACACACACATTAATAAGCAGTCAGCACCAGATTGTCTTCTTATGTCTGTCCAAAGAGCCTGATGTTTAAGGGGCCTGGTTCCTCTGTCTCAAACACCAGTTGTATCAATGGTATGTTTGTCTCTTCAGTCTCTACAGCTTGGCCTGTATTACATCTTGTCATGAGCTGATTGCTTTTAGGTGTTGGCAAGGCCTGATGAAAGGGACTTTTAAGAGCTTCCTTCTTCAATCAACAGTCCTTTTTGAATGGCCTATCTTGTTTGATGCAACAATTAAGGAACCACAGTCTTGGTCAATGAATACTGTAGCACTCCCTTCGTGTCAATTCAGAGTGACGGATTGACTTCTGCTTGGGTTGTAGTTGTACCCAATGGCGGAGGGTGGGGGGAAGAGAAGGAGAGGTATGAAAAGGAAAGGAGGTAGGATGGAAACCTCAGCCTCCTTGATTGAGTATCTCTGTTTTTATACTTGTTGATAAATTAAGTATCAAAACAAACCCGTCTTCCATTTTCCTAGCTACTGCCTTTCAGAGCGGTGGATTAACCACATCTATGGAAAATTCCCTTCCATCAATGTAGAAAGCATCCACACTATGGAACGACAGTAGCACCACACCTAGGTCATTGCAGTGACTTTAGTATAGACATTATCTGAATCGATGGGAGAGTTTTCCCCTGCCTCTAAAGATCACTGTTCTCTCCCTTTGGTATCACTCTGCGTAGACATTATCTGAATCGATGGGGGAGTTTTCCCCTGCCTCTAAAGATTACTGTTCTCTCCCTTTGGTGTCACTCTGCTCCCTCTCTTGCTAAAGTTCTTTCCTTCTTTGGACTCAGAATTCATTCTGAAAAGTGGAAATTTCTCCTCTAGGGATACTTTCATTCATGTGTCTTTTCAATTAAAGGCAGACCATTTCCCCATGAATTCATGGTACTTGTTCATTTGGCCTCCCTGTACATGACAATGAGTTGATAAACAAGGAAGCAGTCACTTGTCAGAACTCCAAAATCAGAGTCAATCTTACTCTATCGGTTCACCAAACCAAAATTACACTAAATGCCTCTGGAGCTTCTTTTTGGGGCAGCAGGGATTAAATTTGGCTCTGAGTTTTGGAGATTTGCTGCCTGAAGCATCTTTGCTCCCAGGAGAACACCTATGCAGAGCACATGCAATTAATGTCATTTCCATGGCTTTCCTTGGGGGAATGGAACCCAGAGGGCCAGAGCATCAGCTGGTGTGGAGTGCTGCATCTCCTGAGATGTCTTTTTAATATGACAATACAATGATATATGTTTTCCACTTTATTTGTTGGTCCTCTCTCCAAAAGAAGCTTGATGTAATTTCCCAGCAAACTGGAATGCATTAATAGGAAAGTTATGAGCAAGACATGAGAAGCCATTCTTCCACTCCGCTCTGCACCGATTAGGCCTCAATTGGAGTATTGCGTCCAGGTCTGGGCACCCCATTTCAAGAAAGATGTGGAGAAATTGGAGAAGGTCTGGAGAAAAGCAAAAAAAAGGATGAAAGGTCTAAAAAAACATGAGCTATGAGGGAAGACTGAAAGAACTGGGTTTGTTTAGTTATGAAAAGAGAAGACTGAGAGGGGACATGATAGCGGTTCTCAGGTATCTAAAAGGGTGTCACAGAGTGGAAGGGGGGAAATTGTTCTCCTTGGCCTCTGAGGATAGGACAAGAAGCAATGGACTTAAAGTGCAGCAAGAGAGCTTTAAGCTGGATATTAGGAAAAAAATCTTAACTGTAAGGGTAATTAAACACTGGAATAAATTGCCTGGGGAGGATGTGGAATCTCTATCACTGGAGATATGTAAGAGCACATTAGATAGACACCTCTCAGGGATGGTCTAGATGGTGCTTGGTCCTGCCGTGAGGGCAGTGGAGTGGACTTGATCTCTCAAGGTCCCTTCCAGTTCTAGTGTTCTATGAGTCTCTGGCTACCATGTACCTGGATGCTATGGGCCATGCTTCTCTCTGTTACGTGGGTATAACTCAAGAGGAGCACCAATAACTTCAGTAGAATTAATCCAGATTCCTTCTACTGTTGCCTCATTCAGAATCAAACCCTCCCACAACATATCCAGTGTAACGTGTGCCAGACCCTTGTACATACGATTTTGGCTCTGCTCTCATCACTGCTCCTCCACAACTGGGCAATTTTGGGCAAATCCCTTAAACACCTTTTATCTCAGGAAGGCTATTTTGAAAATGGATTATATGAAATGAACACTCCTCTGCTAAATGGCTTGAGAGCTGGAGGTTATAAATACAGTATGTTACTGTGATTCTATCACACTTTCATTCTTCATGAATTGTACAAACTTTTCTCTCTTTTCCTCTTCACCGAGTGAAATAAGACGAGGGGGGCCAGAAATATGGATCATAGGCCTAGTATAAGGCCTGAGGCCTAGGAACAGCAGTCAGCACTTTGCACAAATAAAGAGAAAGAAAAGCTATGGGCAGGAAGCAGGCTGTGCTAATAGAATTTAGTGAAAACAGGGGTAAGGGCATAAAACATGGTTAAGAGCATAACCCTAAGCCTAAGGGTGCCAGGCAGAAGCAATAAACTATCCAAAGGGCCATAAAGAAAAACTTTGTGAATAAACATCTGAGACAAACTTCTTCCCTGCAAATAACAGGATCACACCAAGCCAGGTTCAGGACAGCGATTAAACCCCATAATGGATGATAACTAATCACAGGAGGTAGGAAGCTGAGACCTGAGGAGTGATGTACAACTTGTTTGTACTTGTGTATGAAAGTATATCCTAAAGAGTTGTCTTGGTTTGAATGAGGGGCAATTTCTTTTTCCTAGCACTCACTGAGTTGGTCCATTGTCAGGGGGTACCTATGTGTAGGGGTTCAGTAGAGTCTACTGGCAACTATTCTTGTACACTATTTGACAATAAACATAGCCGGGTGCCTTCGATCCTTATGTGATTTTGTGGGGTTTGGGGACTTTCTCAAGGTCTACTGTGGTAGCTATTTGAGCAAGCCAGCATGACATACAGAGGAGCATATGCATGCAGCTGAACAGTTATCATCATAGATGGAGGAGACCTGTCAGGATGCTACACCAGTGAATCCTGATGACTACACCTGCAGTAATTCCAGTTTGGGAGCTTGGCCTGGGCAGGAGGGCTATGCAAAGAAATCACGTCTAAGGCTCTGGCCTCTACCTTTGGCAGCTTCATGGAACAAGAGAATCCCCTGCTGCTTTTTGACACAGGAGAACAGAGCACGAACCTCTAGATCACAGGGCCTAGTGATGGTGAATGGGATGTGCCTCTTGTACTGTCCAGCACCTTCCTGGACAACGGAAGATAATAAAAATCTGCCATTTTATTAATAGAAAATGAAATGTGCACATCCTCTTCTCAAGTGCAGGTTCCCAAATATTTCAATACAAAACCACAATGGTTTCAATAAAACAATATAACACATTTATTGAATGAGTGATTAAAAAACCAATGAGGCATAAAGGTCAGACCTAACTACACAGAAATAAAAGTTCAAGTGCAACTCATTCTGATTTAACAGGCTAAATGAATTCAAAGCAAAGATTTCTCTCGCTGCCTGCTTTTGCAGTTCAACCAGCTGGATGCCTTTTAGCCAGAACCCTCCCCAAATCTAGTGCAACTTTGCATTTCCTTCAGATGGCGTTGATGCCATAAGAAGAGAAAAAGGGGGGAAGAGAGCCTTCCAGGCATTTGTCTTCTCTTTCTATAGTCAGAATTCTCTTCCACTAAAACCATCCCCAGCTGAGGCTTAGGAGACCAAGACCGAGAGGGCAGAGAATCCCAGCAGTTTGCTTGTTAGAATGTGGATTTTTAGCTCACCACCTTCTTGCTGCCCACAAATAGCCTCTTATCCAGGTGAGAGTCCGGTTCCTTGTGTTGCCACCTAGCTAGTGGAAATACAGACAGGTTAGTCGAGCATTCACTTACTGACCTTAAACTGTCCATAGATATGTCACATGTCATCATAATAGGGTTGTCCAAAACACTTGCCGGGGTGGCTGGGAAGAGTTTTGATAGTCACCAAAAAGCAGCCCATGTCAGGAGGTCGTGGTGCACCCTCCCTTTGCTACATTTTACCCAATATTTGGGGCGCTCAGCTCTGAGGGGGAAGACCCACCTTCAATTTCCCCCTTGTCCGTGCAAGGCAAAGCTGTGCGCATGGGTTTCCTGCTTCTCCAGAGAGAATCTCAGCTTATTAAAAATGTGTGGATGGCCACAGAAACGCACACACCGTGCTCTCTCTTGGACATGGTACCCTTCCTCTTCCTTGTGTATTTGTTCCCCTAATTGAAAAAAAAAGGAGATTGTGAAGTATATTTCCTTTCTCCTCCTCGTGCATGGATAGAAACCAGGTGACAATCTCTACAACAACCCCACAGAACACATGAAGCGCTCCAAGTATCAGGAGGGTGTGAAGGGCATTTGCTTTCTTCTCCTCATGCATGGACAGAAACCAGGTGACAATCTCTACAACAAGCCCACGCAGTGCATAAAGGCCTGCAGAGTATCAGGATGGTGTACAAAACGTCCTTTGGTTCAGCCTTAGAAATCACACCGATTTCAAAATGCCCAGTGAAACAACATCCCCCACCCACAAAGAGGCAGATTTTGATACCACCTCTTCTTTCCCAAAACAACCTGCTCCATGCTTTAAATGCCCATCACATATATTTACATACTCACACATGTGAAACAGGTGCCTCCTTGAATTTTCCTGGGGCAGTAGTCTAATGAAGCCCTGACCTCAGTTGGGGCCTGCAGGCCTTGTTGAAACACAAACACATAAATAATGATAACAATAGGGAACAACACTATCCTGGGGTCTGCAAAACGACATTCCAAAGGACTGGGAGTTCACTTCACCTGGTTCCACTCCCTGTCATTCCACAAGTACTGAGGTAAACAGATTCAAGAAGTGCTTAGGAGTTTCTTCATGGCTTTCTTCAGGGCGTCCTTCACTTCCCTGTTCCTCAAGCTATAGATGAAAGGGTTCAACATAGTGATCACCAGTGTGTACAAGATGGAGGCCATTTTGTCTGTGTCCATGGAATAGGTGGAGATGGGTCGTAAATACATAAAGAGGAAGGTGCCATAAAACATGACCACCAGAGTCAAGTGAGAAGCACAGGTAGAGAAGGCTTTGCGCCGGCCTTCGACAGAGTGGATCTGCAGGATGGCGGAGATGCTACAGGCATAGGAGAGGAGGATGGTCACAACACTGCACAACACAATGAAGCATGTGGAGATCATTACCAAATTCTCATTGATGTGAGTGTCAGAGCAGGCGAGCACCAGTAGTGGGGCCATGTCACAGAAGAAATGATTGATGACATTGGAGCGGCAGAATGACAGCCGGAATGTCAGACAGGTGACTATCATGGACTCCACCAAGCCCACAGCACAAACCCCAGCCACCAGCTGGTTACAGAACCGCCTGGACATGGTAGCCCTATAGAGCAGCGGGTTACAGATGGCCATGTACCGGTCATACGCCATCACAGCTAGCAAAAGACACTCAGTATCTGAAAGGGCGCCGTTGAGATACATTTGCACAGCGCAGGCAGGCCAGGAAATAACTTTCCTCTCAGCTAAGAAATTCTGTAGCATCTTAGGGGCAATTAGCGTGGAATAGCAGAGATCACAGAAAGACAAACTCTTGAGGAAAAAGTACATGGGGGTGTGGAGTCGGGAGTCAATTGTGATTAACAAGATCATCCCCCCGTTCCCTATCAAGGTGATAACATAAATCAGTAGGAACACCCAAAACAGGGGGACCTGTAGATCTGGAATATTAGTCAGTCCTGAGAGAATGAACTCATTCACCACCGTTTGATTTCCCTTTTCCATCTCTTCTGAGCAGAGATCAGGCAGCTACAGGGATGTGGGTAAAGGGATGACTGATGAAAACGAATCCTTTGCTGTAATGAAGTAAGAGAAGAAGAATGAAGATCAGTTTCTTAATCAGTATCACAGTAGGGATGGACTTAGTCCAGAGAGCCAGATGTTCACAGCAGGTCATTCCAGGTGTTCCATGCAATGCACCCACTGTAGAAATACAAGGACATGCTGGTTAATCATGCCCTCCTCACAAACACTCTTCATCACTAATCCAAGTAGCAAACAGTGAGTTGTGACTCTGTTGTGAGAGAATTATGGTGAAAACCATCTCGCTCTGAAGAAGCTAAAGAAGGGGTGAGAGTAAACAAGTTCTGCACTTTGGGGAAGGGGAGCTGTGTGGCTTGGCATGTTGGTTTGGGATAAAATTATTCACTGTGCTAATTACGCTTTTTGGCATCCCAAAACGGCATGTCCTTTAATCCATAGGAAAACCCACAGATCGAATGGAAGGTGTTGGTTTTAGTGACTTTATGTTTGCCTATTTTTGCACCCAAAAATGTCATTTCTGTACCTCAAATTCAGTACCTGTCGATCACCATGACGTGCGTCTCCATGGGTGTGTGACTGATGCAGGGCAACAGCATGGACGTGTTGAGGAGAGAGACAGGGTGGTATTTTCCCATCAGCAGATGCTGCCAGTTTGGAACATTCCGGACGTTTTATACTAGTAGGGCCTGACTTCTGAGAGACAAAATACCTAATTAACATGCTCAGTGGGCCAAAGCCATCTTCAGTGTCACTCATGCCCTGGGGATTAATTAGCCCACACTTTCCTACTGTATGATTAAACGATGTAACGTCTCTCAGAATTACAGAGCACGAGGTTAGGGGTGTATTGCATTCTGACATTTTCAGTGCAAGTCAGGTACTGAATGGAGCTGATCAACAAAGAATTTGTTCTTCATTAGAGGTTGAAAACTGAATATTTTGGCTCAGAAATACCAGAGGCCTGCCTCAAGCACTACATACCATCCATCTCCTCCATGAACCAGGCTCCCAGACAGGTCTCTTCTCTTGCTGAACTGCCCCTGAACATCACCAGAGGTCCACTCCAACAGTATAGGGATGAGGTGAGTTTGGTATTTTGATGGGAAGCTGATCATTTCCATGGAACAGAGAAGTGCATGAAAACATAATTTCCCATCACAAAATACAAACTTTTCCAGAAATATTCTCAAGCAGACTTAGCAAGAAGTTTAGAATCAGAGGATCAGAAAGTTCGATAGAACTGGCAAGTGCTAATTGTTTGCGGCTAGAGTTGAGATCTTCCCAGTCATTCCTGTTTTCAGAATCACCTCACACTCCTGACACCAACGGGTGGAATGTAAAACCCATAGGATATCTAGGTGTATTACAGACAGTCACCCTGGCATTCTGTGTCCTTCCCTTCCTAGCTTCCTCCCCAGAGAGGTTCTTTCTTTTTGCTTGATGGAGATCAAATGATGACCAGAAGAGCTCACATGGAGACCACAGAGACATAGAATCATAGAACAGGAAGGAACCTCTAGTGATTGTCACATACAGTTCCCTGCTCTCATTAATGGATTCCAATATCTCTCTCCAAACAATTACTTAAATTTAATGGAAATTACTTGTCTGGACATGGGCCATAGATCTTGTTGTGTGGGGGGATCTCCGAAATAAAGAGGTTGAGAAACTCTGACCTACACCATCCAAGATACAAGATGGCCCATGGCCATATGCACATTAATAAGCAGTTGGCACCAGATTGTCTTATGTCTGTCCAAAGAGCCTGATGTTTAAGGGGCCTGGTTCCTCTGTCTCAAACACCAGTTGTGTCAATAGTATATTTGTCTCTTCAGTCTCTACAGCTTGGCTTGTATTACACCCCATCATGAGCTGGGTTGCTTTTAGGTGTTGGCACGGCCTGATGAAAGAGACTTTTATGGCCTTCCTTCTTCAGACAGGCCTTTTTGAATGGCCCATCTTCTTTGATGCGACAATTGGGGAACCACTCTCCTGGTCAATAGCTCAGGGGAAAATAAAGACATCAGCTGTCCCTGGGCCTCAATTCACAGCGATGAAGGGACTTCTGCTTGGGTTGTAGTCCAAAGTGAGGGCTATGAAAAGGAAAGAAGGTAGGATAAGAACCTCAGCCCCTTTGATTGTGTATTTCCAGTTTTATACTTGTTGATAAGTATCAAAAACAAACTTCTGAGTACTATTCTTTCATTTTCCTAGCTACTGCCTTTTGGAGCTGTGGATTAACTATATCTATGGAAAAAACCCTTCTGTCAATGTAGAAAGCACCCACGTTGTGGTACAATAGCAGCATTACACCTGAGTCAGTGTAGTGACTTTAGTATGGACATTCCCTGGATTGATGGGGGAATTTTCCTCCTTCCTCTTAATGCAGGAGTTAAGTACTACTATAGAGAATTTCTGGGTGTCTGGCTGGTGAGTCTTGCCCACATGCTCAGGGTTTAGCTGATCACCATGTTTGGGGTCAGGAAAGAATTTTCCTTCAGGGTAGATTGGCAGAGACCCTGGAGGTTTTTCGCCTTCCTCTGTAGCATTGGGCGCAGATCACAGCTGGAGGATTCTCTGCATCTTGGGACCTTCAAAGTATTTGAAGGCTTCAATATCTGAGATATAGGTGAGAGGATTATTCTAAGAGGGGTGGGTGAGATTCTGTGGCCTGGACTGTGCAGGGGGTCAGACTAGATGATCATAATGGTCTCTTCTGACCATAAAGTCTATGAGTCTATGAGAACGCTGTTCTGCAGACAACAGGCCCATAATGGCTGCATCTAGACTGGCAAGTTTTTCCGCAAAAATGGCCGCTTTTGCACAAAAACTTTCCAGCTGTGTACACTGGCCACTTGATTTCGCACAAGAGCACTGACGTTCTACTGTCTGAAATCAGTGCTTCTTGCGCAAATGCTTTGACATTCCCGCTCGGGCAAAAGCCCTTTTCCAGAAATGTTTTTGCATAAGAGGGCCAGTGTAGACAGCTAAAAACTTTTGTGCAAAAAAGCCCCGATGGCAAAAATGGCTATCGGGTCTTTCTTGCACAAAACCGCATCTAGATTGGCACAGACGCTTTTCTGCAAAAAGTGCTTTTGCAGAAAAGCGTCCGTGCCAATCTAGACGCTCTTTTCCGCAAATGCTTTTAATGAAAAAACTTTTCCGTTAAAAGCATTTGTGGAAAATCATGCCAGTCTAGACGTAGCCAATGTGTTGGGGAGAAAGGGCAGTTGTATGGGCTGGGAAGATTCTGGCCCAACACAAAGCATCCATGCACCAGTCAGTTTTTTTTCCTTTTCTTCAAGTTTCCTCTCAAATCGGACCTTCTTCCACTTTAGCTATTCCTCTTCCTTTCCCTTAGTCCCTCTGCATGAGGACTTTAGTCATCATATCTCCATTGCTTTCAGTAATGTCTCCTGTCTCTCATTTCCTGGTTTGTATTATTTAGTCTTGCAAAGTGTCCAGGCTGCACACTAGTGAAGGAGCAAGATATGAAGCACTAAATAAGAACACATTGATAATCGAGTGTCCTTGGAATGGGATGCTGATGTGAAAAATGTAAATGTTCTCTGCAGATGCTCCTGCAAAATATCTCCTAGCATGCCAGCCCCCTCCGAATTCTTTGGTTAATTTTATTTATTTCCTATGTCTGATAATCTGTACAAAAGAGGTTAGGGATAAAATTGCAAAACAGTGTGAAGGGGAAAGAACAGAAGAAGCAATGGGCTTAAATTGTAGCAAGGGAGGTTGAGGTTGGACATGAGGAAAAACTTCCTGTCAGGGTGGTTAAACACTGGAATAAATTGCCTAGGGAGGTTGTGGAATCTCCCTCACTGGAGATATTTAAGAGCAGGTTGGACAGACACCTGTCAGGGATGGTCTAGACGGTGCTTAGTCCTGACGTGAGGACAGGAGACTGGATTTTATGACCTCTCAAGGTTCCCTCCAGACCTAGGATTCTGTGATCTCAGAAGGAGCCCTGCACCGGGGGAATGCATGCCTGAGTGCTAGAAAGGGTAAGGGATACACACCTGCCTAAGCCCAACTTTCAGTTTCACCTGTATCCCCCCCAACACACACACACATTGCCCACTACACAGCAAACACACACACAGAGCACCAATTGCACACTGGCAGCCTGAGGCTGAGCTCAATCAAAATGCAAAATAATCTCTATAGGGATGTTGCGGCAGCTGGACTATTTCCAACTTGTCTGAACCCAAAGAACTGAAGGGGATTCTGTTGCCCTTCAGAGAGAGAAGATGAGACTTCCCACATGGTCTTGTCCACCACTACAAGATCTCAGGTCTGGTTTAGGCTTAACATTAGGTTGATTGAGCTCTGTTGCACAAGGCTGAAAAACATTCACACTCTGAATGGGGCAGTTAGATTGAACGAATCCTTAGTGTGGTTCTTCCTTCCCCACCCCCAGCTTCTGCCACATCTGGACACGTGGGTTAGCTACACCAAGGGGAATAAAAACTCCTACACTCGATGTGGAAAGCATCTACTCTACAGGTCCCCCAGCTGCACCAGAGCTGAGTCACTGTAGTGACTTTACTAGTGCCACTCCCTGTATCACTGGGGGAATTCTTAAGGCTACTTTTCGCTCCCTTTCCCGTCATCCTCCTGCCTCCCTGGTGTCGGGGACTTTAACCCGGATGGCCTCCGTTCGTTGTCTGACCGCAAAGAGACAGGCAACACCAGCAAGATCCAATCACGAGCTCTTTATTGAATAGTGCGCACTACAATAGAGAGCGGCCCGTCTCCCAAGTGAACCAGCCACGATTTCAGTAACAAGTAAGATGATATAGACAGTTCCGTCGCGTCATAAAACATTTGCCCAAGCATCTCAGCCCCCCCTTAATTAGTTAGAAGCTTCTCGTGTTAATGCGTATACTTCATGGTCTTAAGCAATTCATAATACGTCAACAGCTTTCTTATCAGCCCAGAAGGCAAGT